TTAGTAAGGACTAGGGATCGACCGATTTATAGATTTTTTTTAAATTTTTTTTTTTAGAGCCGATACTGATACAGATCGTGGCAGAAATGCCTCTGCCACGTGTTCCTGGAGGGGCCTGCTGGCTAGCCTCCTGCCCAAAGACTATGGGCCCTGCAAACAGACATATTAAAAAGTGACTTCCATGGAAAAACCATACCACTGAACCGATCTGGGTGATTTTTGGATATGTTGTGTGACAGATCCCTCTGTATAGACTAAGATTGCTAGATTAGTCTGTTTTGCCTTTTTCACGAAATTACCCGTTCGTATGCCTTTGTTCAAGTGAATTGACTTTTCTGCCGAACGGACGGCCACCCAGAAGGGAAGTGTGCTGCTGGTTAACCTCTTGATCCCAATTAGAACGTTGCGGTTAACCAGACACTTCTCAATTAAAACCGGATACAGGGTGGTCATCGTTCGTATGTCGACCACGAGGCGGCGGCCATTTTAAACCATGCGAAAGACCAGCGGTGTTCAGCATTGATTTCATGGAACTGAAAACTGACACTTTTTTTCAACCGAACACCGCTGAAGCCGTCGACCTCCCTTCTCAAGCGACAGAAGTGTGCGAACACCAGCCGTTCGGGAGGTTTAAATGCACGAATGGACTTACCCCAGATAGCCTTCCCATGGAGTCAATAGCATACCGAAGAACTGTAATAGACTTTGACTCCATGGTGATTGAATTATGCGTATGGGATCTGAGCGCTATTCGCCAATAATATGCACTCAGATCCAGGCTGGGGACATGTGATACGAATGGATAGTATTCGACAAATGTAAAGTTATCTATTTTTATGTGTTTTTATGTGTTGAATTTAAAATGGCGACTTGCCTCTGTCCTGGAGATAATTGAATTACTTCTCAATTATCTCCAGGGCTGAGGGGAGGAATTACTATTGCATGCTGGGAATATTTTGTGTCTGTGGGTCCTGAACTGCCATATGTTGTCACAGTCTCCCATTTGGTCCCCTAGGGGAGTGTCCACCAAGTGGGAGAGCTGCATAAATACGGGCAGGTAGCCCACATTAAAGCCAGTTCTTGTTTTACCCTCAATGCGGAGCTTGGTCTCGTTATTGGGGGGATTTATTACCGACGACTAGAGACTGCTAGATGGGATTAGTAGCCGCTTGGGAGATACCTGCGTTCTGCTAATATTGGCGATTCGTGAGTCTGGAGCTCGTGGAGTGAAGTGCCCGTACGGATCCCGTTCGTGAGTTTGCAGCGTTCCCTTGCTTGTGGTTCACATGATTATACTGGATACGCATGCAGCCTATGTTATTGCGAACGGGGCGCATTCACTAAATGGTGGTTTGTACATTTCAGATCAGGGCTATGCGAGGATGTGACTCTTGTGGGGTTTCCATGGATCTTGTGGGTACTTTTGGGGTATTTGTAAATTGTGTATTTTTCTGTACTTGGAGATAATTGAGTTTGTACAGTTCCTGACTCTATTATCTCTCGGACACAGAGGAAGAGTTTTTTGAGTGTATTGCTTGTCTGTGCCTCTTCCCCCTCCCCCTTTTTCCTGTCCTATTGTTTCCCCAGCAGGGCGTTGTCCCAGGCACACTGCCAGATCAGTTTAAACTGGCTGCTTTGTCCCTCCTCAATCTCCCATCAGTCCTTGCTATTGTGTGACCCCACCCTTCCTTGTACTATAGTTCTCTATGTACCCTATTGTATGTAAAAGTGGCTGTTGGGGGTTTAAATGTGTGTGTATAAATTGTAAGTGCTTACTTGCATTAAACAGACTACTTCCCAGCATTAAGCCTTGGCTCATGTGTGGGGGGAATTGCTATACTGCTCTTTGGATTATTATACTATCTTGGAGGAGAGGTCTTCTCACTGCGAGCTGGATCCAGGTGTTGGTCCAGGGTGGGAAGGGACGGCGAGACTCCAGCCAAGCTGCGGCGGCTAAGGGGGGCTATGGTGTCTGGTGCGGTGCTTATACTAGGAAGCGTGATTGGCGGAGGTGCCCAGTCAGGCCGATAGCCAATAGGTTATCAATGTATATATATATATATATATATATATATATACACACACACACACACACACACACACACACACACACGTATATATGTGTGTGTGTGTATATATATATATATATATATATATATATATGAGCAAGGCATCAAAACAACTTTAGCTTAATTAAAGGATCACTATACAAACATGTATTTCTGACACTATAGTGCTAAACCCACCATTTAGGTGGCATGCCCCCCCTTAGCAACTCTATAAAAGTATAAAACTCAACCTTATTTTGTGACGTTATCAAAATGGCTGATTTTTAGCCAATCCAATGCTTTCCCATAGGGAAAATTTTTGTATTCGCTAAAATTGGCACTGGGCAGGGCCAAATGCTGTTTTGGCCAATCAGGACCTCCTTATAGAGATGCATTGAATCAATGCATCTCTATAAGGAAAATTCAGCGTCTCCATGCAGAGCGTGGGGAAGCTGAACGGCAGGGCTGCTTACTGTGCAGTCCTGAGTCAGGAAACCCCTCCAGTGGCCATCTAAGGAGTGGCCATTTGGAGGTGTTCCTAGGGGCAATGTAAACACTGCCTTTTCTCTGAAAAGGCAGTGTTTACAGGAATGTGCCTGAAGGCAATGATTATTACTACATTAAGCTGTAGTTTTTCTAGTGACTATAGTGTCCCTTTAAGTAATGTTAGTGGTTATATGATCCCAGTAGATCATGCCCCTGTACTGCAGTGCTCAATTCTCTGCCATTTAGGAAATTAATTTTGTGTAACTTGTGGTGGTCACGTTTTTATCTCTTGCTGTAAATACTGTATAAAAGATGCATAATCACCCAAGTACATGTAACACTCACGAGCGTGTGGAATATCAAGCGCTTCAAGGGTGCTTCCCCCGAAATAAGTGGGCGGGCTATAACCTCCTCAGGATCTCCACTCCCAACTAGGTACCAGAAAAACATTCGGATTTCAGGATTCCAATAGGAAAAAATGGTTTTATTTAACGTCAATAAAAAAATTGAATTGTTAAAACTTGAGGTCCTTGGCATTTCGTTCCTATAAAGGAACTTCCTCAAGGACCTATATTAAAATCAATAAGGTACAAATAAATACAGCCTGAAATCCCCCCTCCACTCCAATCCCTTTAAATAGGGTAAGAAATTCCACTGGTGGTGTGATTGTGAGTGTTTTTTCCTTTCTCTCCCCTGGTTTGTCCTTCAATGATTCCACACATCGGTTCTTTGATTCTGGCATATCGCTGATGACCTTTCACAGTTGTACTTGATCTGTGTTTAATTTTTGGCAGGTGTGACGAAAGCAACTTTGCCATTGGTTCTTGGAGGGTTATACTTGCCAGCCTCCTACCCAGTGACGGTAGCCCCTGTGATAAAACTTGATTTAAATCACTGTTCATGCCTTTTTGGATTTTTATAGCCACAGTTCGAACTTTCGAAGTGGCACTTCAAACTCCCGAACAGTCGAAGTGGCCGCCATTCGACATTCGAACACGTGGCAGCCATCTTGTTCGCATGGACGAAAACCGCGAATAGACTTCAGGGGGACTTAGCTGCAAATGCCCTGGAACTATATTCCGCATGAAAACCTTGTGGTTCCCGGTCGGTCCTCCTATGACTTCCATAAAATTTCTGAACCCCTGATCTGATCTAGGTGAACAACATATCCAAAGATCACCCAGATCAGGGCTATATGGGGATATGTTGTGTTTTGGGGTGCTAATGAGACTTTGTAAAATGTGTTTTTCTGCCTGGAGATAATTGGGTTAATACAGTATCTGACTCAATTATCTCACAGGCAGAGGGGAGGGATTGTATTCTTGTTATGGGAGTGTTGTACATTTAATGTTTTTATTGGTTTGTTAACTTGTGTCCCTGTGCCCAACAAGGTCCATGTGGGTGTCACCCTTGTTGGGAAACTTGCATAAAAGGCCAGTGTGGCTCCATTAAACTTGAGTTCCTGCTTAACCCTCAACACGTAGCTTGGTCTTGTGATTGGAGGGGAACTGCTATATTCACACTGGGGATTGCTATACTCCTTATACTCCCCTGGGTTCTAATCACTAGCTCTTGTAAGAGCTGTTCCTGCTATGCTATCTGAAGTAGGAGAGGTCTTTTCCACACAGTTCTGGAAATCCAAGGTTGGTCCAGGGTGGGAGGAAGACGGCGAGATCCCAGCTAAGCTATGGTGGTTTTGGAGTCTGTGGTGCTTGTGGTGTCCGGTGTGGTGCTTATGGTCCTCAACATCTGCTAGGAAGCATCTGTTGGCGGAGGTGCCCAGTCGGGGTGCCAGGTCGTCCGTCACAGCGGGCGATCTTGTGTTCCGGAAGATGGACTCTTGCATTCCAATGCCTACTTCCTGTGTTACGAGCTCTTGTGTTCCAGTGGCCCTTCCTGTATGGCTCGTCCAACATGGCCATGCGTGTCACGCTCGATTGTCTGAAGTGGAGGAGACCGCCTCCTGCATGGCTCATCCAACATGGCCGTGCATTGTCCATAATTATTCTGTGTATATAGGTCAGGCTCTATCTTCCCCGGCTACAGCGATTGCTGCCAGCTCGCACGGGGCAGCCTGGGAGCTGGCAGACCACCCACACGGGGCAGATAGGGAGCTGGGGGTAGCATGGCAAGTGGTGCGGAAGGGAGCAGTAATTCTCCTGCAGCTTCTTTCTGCTACCTTGCACTGTTTATTTATTTATTTTTTATTCTTTATTTAACGTTTTCTATTACATATTTTATTCCTTTTTTGTTTTTTGGGGGGGGAGGGGGTACAGAAGAGAAAAAGGGAGGGGGAAGGGGTATCAGTTGGTGATACAGTTCTTCTTTTAGTGAGCATCTAGCAAGCATTTTCAAGTCATCTGTAGTTGCCCAGTGTTTGGTGTGCCGAGCGTGTCGCGGGTGTGGTCTTGGTAAGTTTGGGGTTTGCATGGGGGAGAGGGAGGGGAAGGGGAACGTCCCGGGTACTCAGCTATTTGCATTCTGCGGTGGTTCTGTGTTTGTGCCGCCCATCCGGTTCCAGTTGTGTGATCCCGAGTTGTGTGGTGCTAGTTCTCCTGATGGCCAGGTGGGCCCTGGGTTTTTCCTAAGTGGTGTGTCGCTGGCCTCTCGATGCGTGAGGCGGACACTTGGGTCCGGATTGTGCTGTAGCTTGTTCTTGTGGGCGGGGAAATGTGTGCTTAGACCAGGTGTTGGCATATCGGACCCAGGGGGGTGGGAATGTGGGGGATGGTGGTTTTGCTGGGATGTACAGGTCTTGGTGGTGTGAGGGGGGTGGGTTCTCTCTGCATTTGCACTCCTAGCCTCTGCAGAGTTTCGACTGCTTGGTCGGGGGTTAGTAGCAGGGGCCAGGATTCCCCGGGGATGAGATCTGTCACTGTTTGTGGTGTATCGCATCAGGTTGTGGTTTAGGGTCACAGGGGTATAGACTGTGGTCGTGTCGGTAATGCTGTTTGTGCAGTGTGGCTGCACATTGGCCAGGTCCTGCGGTCCTGATGTTCTATATCTAGACCGGTGTTTGTTTTGGTTGGTTTGCGTCCTGGCGGTCCATGTCAACCCCCGAGGCGGTGTTGGTCTGTGAGTTAGGATCAGGGGTCTGGCGTAATGGTCCTGTCTCCTCCCCTCCTTGTCCGGGCGTTCGTCCTTATTCAATGTCATGGGAGGGTGAGGCTGGAGGGGGATTTGGGTTGTTACCCCCCCCCCCCGTCGTCCGCCCGCGCCAGCCGGGTCCCCGTTGGGGGGGCGGGTTGTTGGGTTGGTGGCTTTCGTAGGGCTAGGGGGAGGGAGGGGAGTTGGGGGTGTCTGTGAGCATTTCTAATGTGTGCGCCCTTCTTACCTTGTGGTTCTGGGCAAGATAAATGTACCGGTAGGTGCTGCGGGGTGGTTAGGTCTGTGTGGTTGAGGCCAAGTTCGGGTTGTTAATGTCCCAGGGGTCCCAGATTCGGTGGAACGCATTAAATGAGTTGTGTATCTGTGCGGTTAATTCGTCCAAGTCACGGGTTTCTTTGATCTTGTTGATGATAGTCGAGATTGTGGGAATTCGGTGGTCTGCCCAGCGCTCCGCGATTGCCCTTCGGGTTGCCAGCGTTATCCTGGCCGCTAGCTTGTTTTCGCTCCTGGTGAGGGAGTCCAGCGGTTTGCTGAGTAGCATCGTCCATGGGTGCGCAGTAATGGGTTTATGGAGAAAATGAGGTTGCAGATTTCCGTCCAAAGTTACTTGATTTTGGGGCAGTTCCGCCAGCAGTGTCGCCAGCAGAGGTTGTCGGGCTTTCGGCCCATTTTGTGGAGTCTGAGCGGTGTCATGTACCAGCGGAATAACTTTTTGTATGCTTGCTCTTTGTGGGTAACATAGACTGTCAGGGAGTTCGTTGCTTCCCAAATTTCCGCCCAGTCGCTCGATTCCTCCGGTGGGCCAAGATCTCGCTCCCATGCGGCGATGTAGGTGAGGTTGACTTGGGAGGTGTGTGTTGTCAGGGTGGCGTATAAGTCGGAGATTTGTCCTGGGTGTAGGGGTGCGTCGAAGCACTGTTTCTCGAATGATGTCAGGGGTGAGGTCCCTGCTTGTTTGATCATTGGCTGTCTTGCCAGATCCCTGAGTTGCATATATCGAAAGTAGTCTGCCGTCGTGAGCGTTTCACTGTTTGGTATGGCTTGGTAGGTGACGATTTCTCCCTGATGGTACAGGTGGAGCAGCCTGGAGACATCTTTGATCAAATGCGCGGAAGTGCTGTGCGACCATCCCTGGTGGGAAAAGTTTGTTGCAGTATATTGGTGTTACCGGAGAGAGGAAAGAGGACAGCTCGTATTTAGGGTTGAGTTTGTCCCAGAGAGCTAACGTGTGGGTGAGTGCCTGGGAGGTGGGCGGAGGGAGCGGGCGGGGGCACCCACATATAGGATGATGGTTGGTCCCAGCCCAGGATATCGTGCTCCAGATCCACCCATCTTTTGGCACTCGGGGGCCAGGTGGGGCGCATTGTAATATTGCAGGAAATTGGGTAGCCCAAGGCCCCCGCTGGTTTTGGGGACGTACATGGTCGATCTGCGGATGCGTGGTTTTTTGGCCCTCCAAATGAATTTGTCAATGGCGGCCTGAAGATCTTTGAAGTCTTTTTTCTGTATGGGGATGGGTAGCGTGTGGAAGAGGTATAGAAAGCGCGGTAGTAAATTAATTTTGATAGTTGTAACTCTGCCGAGCCAGGAAATCCCAAGTCTGTCCCATCATCGCAGGTCTGTGAGCTGTTGCCATCAGAGGTTTGTAGTTTTGCTTGTAGGTATCTTCCAGGTTTAGGGGCAGTCGGGTGCCCAGGTATGTGAGGTGGGACGTAGTGATTTGGAAAGGGAAGGATTGTCGTAAGAGGTTGGTTTGTTGCTCGTTCATCGCCATGGGTACGAACAGGGATTTCGTCAAGTTGATTTTGTATCCGGAGAAGCTGACATAGTCGGCTATCACTTTGAGGGTGGCTTGCAGGGAGGACGTCGGGTCCGTGAGGGTCAGGAGGACGTCGTCCGCGTATGCTGCTACCGTGTATGTGTCTTGTCGAATTCGGATGCCGTGGATGTCGGGGTGGTTGCGTATGGCTTGTAGAAGTGGTTCTAACGAGATTGCAAATAGGAGGGGGGAGAGGGGGCAGCCCTGCCTGGTCCCATTTGCAATGTCGAATGTGCGGCCTTTGACGTTGGGTAAGAGAAGGCTCCCAGTGGGGTGGTTGTAAATTGCCATCAGAGCGTTTAGGAATCCAGCCGGGAATTTCAGGTGAGTTAGTGTTTGAAACATGTAGGGCCAGAGAAGGCGGTCGAACGCCTTCTCTGCGTCCAGTGAGAGCATTACCGAGGGAATGCTTCGGTTCTGAGCGTACCAGATTGTGTTAAAGGCTCGCCTGGTGTTGTCCGATGCCTGTCTCATGGGGATAAAGCCGACCTGGTCTGGGTGTATCAGCTTAGGGAGGTACGTGTTGAGACGGTTGGCCAATGCTTTGGTGAGAATTTTTAAGTCCATGTTCAGGAGTGAAATTGGTCCTTCCCTGGTTTGGGCAGGAGGCAGATGTCTGCAGCAAGCATGTCCGGGGGGAGGTGTTGGCCCTGGAGAAGAGAGTTGAAGGTGTTGCACAGGTGTGGTGTGAGTATTGCCTGAAACGTTTTATAGTAGAGGGCTGTGAAGCCATCTGGGCCTGGGCTTTTCATGGGTTTTAGCGTTTTGAGGACCTGGGCGAGTTCTTCTCCCTCTATGGGCGCTTCCAACAGTGTCTGTGCCTGTGCTGGTAGAGTGGGTAGGTTGAGGGATTGCAGAAAGTCGGTGATGTGCGCCTGTTGGGTGGTGTCTCCCGTTGGAGGTAGGGATTTGGTGTGGTTGTATAGATTGGTGTAGAAATTCATGTGTTATTTCGTCTGGGTGGTTCGTGATCTCTCCCTTGCTGGGTCTGATTTTGGAGATTTTTTGTTGTTGTCCTGCCGTTTTTTTGAGGCAGTTTGCCAGAAGGGAGTCCACTTTGTTCCCTTTTTCGTAGAAGCGTTGCTTGGTCCACATGAGGTTTCGTGCCACATCTGCCGTGGAAAGGCGTTTGAGGAGTACACGTGTGGTGGTAAGCCGTGCAAGCAGCGCGTCTGAAGGGTTTTGTTTGTGTTGTGTTTCGAGCTCCTTTAAGGTGGCTAGTGCTTCCGTGAGATCCTTGAGGCGCTGTTTTTTAAGTGCTGTGGCTATTGCTATTAGCTGGCCTCGTATTGTCGCTTTGTGGGCTGCCCACACTGTCGCCGGGGCCATGTCGCCTGTGGCCTTGATTTCAAAGTAGGTTTTGAGTTGGTCTGTGATGGCATGTACCGTCGCCTTGTCCCGGAGGATCCACGGGTTGAGTCGCCAGCGCTATGGACGGGCCAGTCGCGGGATTTGTATGTCCAGCGTGATCTCCGCGTGGTCTGACCATACTATGTTTCCTGTGTGCGTGTGGGTGGTCCAGGGTTGGACTGCCTGTGAAATGAGGAAGCAGTCAATGCGGGAGTACAACCGATTGTGTGTGTGTGTGTGTGGGAGTAAAAAGTGAAATCTTTGTCTGCTGGGTGGTGGGCTCTCCAGATATCCAGCAGTGGTGTCTCATTAAGAAATGTGGCGTATAATTTGTTGTTCCTCGTTGGGACTGGTATCGTGTCAGAGTGCGTCCTGCGGTCAATGGCGGGTGTGTGTGTCGCGTTGAGGTCCCCTCCGATGATTAGATGTTTGGCTGAGATGCTATCGAGGTGTGACTTGAAGGTGCACCAAAAAGTGGTATCTGGGGTGGTTAGCGGCGTGGTGCCTATGTGTCCAGAGATGAGCAGATATCTCCCATTTGGGTCTTGGAGCATGCTTATGTCTTCGAGTGGGCAGGCGTTGCGTAGTAGGATCGCCACTCTTTTTTTTTTTTTTTTGGTGATCCGGGGAGTTGGCATAAAAGTGTCTTCTGAAGTGTCAGTTAGTGGGAAGCATTTCTGGTCGGTGAAGTGGGTTTCCTGGAGCAGAATTATGTCCGCCCCTGTGCAGTTGGCCCAGCGGAGTAGCCCATGTCGCTTGCCTGGGGAGTGTAGACCCTTCACGTTGAGGGAGGTTAGTCGGATCTTTCGATTTGGAGATGCCATGATGTGTGTTGCCCTTGGAGGTGAGGCGTTCTCGGACAGGGCCCTGTGGGGCCTGGCTCCGGGAGTATGGTGATTGGGAGCGGGCGGTCAGGTAGAGGGGTGAATATGGTGGTGTTGTGGGTTCCGGCGTGCGCGGGCCGGCGGACCAGGGGGGACCGTCGTCGGGAGTAGAGTGGGTTAGAACTGGTCTTATCGATCTGGCCAGTGGTCAGGTAGGCGGGGGGGCTCGGGCTCCTGTCCTCGTCGTGGAGTTGGGAGTGTCGAGTTCTGGGAGAGGGGTGTTGGCAAGTTGTGGCAGGTCCTGCCGTCGGTCTGCCCGTGTCTGGGCTCAGTTGGCTGAGCGTTAGGATGGGGTCCGGGGGGTAGGGGGCGCGGGTCTGGGTCTATAGTGGCTTACTACTGCCATATGTTATGCATTGGGGCTCTCCGAGGTGGCTGGTGAGGGATTAGTGTCTTCCGGGTTAGGTGATTGTCATGCACCTGCCCTGTAGCGTTCAGAGGGTGAAGGTGCTGCCTTCGATAGTGTGTAACATGGAGGTTGAACCATGGCAAATCTGCACCATGTGCTTAACCTTGTTATAACTTCATTAATAACTGTTGTATAATCAAAGAACACTCATTTCATGAACTAGGGCGTTGTGTTGTCCGGGAGCGATCAGAGAGACACTGCGCTTGTCAAGTGGTCTTTCTGGTGCTTGGTGTGGGGTCAAGGTGAGGCAGTGGTGTGTGGAGCTAGTCTGTTGGTTGCTTTGTCCCCGCTGAGCGTTTATCTGTTAGTAGTTCTCTGCCTATCTGTGGTGCTGCTCTGTAGTGCCCCCTAGCTACCGTCGGGCCATTGGTGGTATCAGTGTCATTGCTATGGTGTCTATGCGGCTAGCGCTGGGCTCACCGATTGTGCCTATGCTGTGGGAACCGCTGTGTTAGACTGGGCTTAGCTCTGCATGGTGGTGTGTGGTGTGAGGTGTACCGGGGTGGGGGGGCCCGCGGTCGGCGGCCCCGGGGGTATAGTGTATTTGTTGCTTGACCGCTCATGGCTCCCTGAACGGGTCCGATGCTGTGCTTGGGGGCCCGGTGGGGGTGGGCCTGCATGCACGGACCCCTCCGTGGATCCGGTGAGGAGTAGGGCCAGGCGGGGTTCGTGCCCGTGGAAGGGTGAGGCCGCGGGACACCTTGGGAGGCCCGGACCCTGTTATATGCGGGCTGTGTGTGAGATGGTTGTGTAGCCCGTGAGGTGGCACGTAACCCCGGCTCCATGTACGGCGGTATGCTTGGGGTGAGCCTGTGTTTCCGTCCGCCCCCACCCTCCCCTCCGTCCATCCACCACTCCAATCCCGCCACGGTCCATTAGGAGGTCAGCGGCGGAGGCCTCAGGCAGGAGGTTCTTGAATACCTCTGTCAGGGTGTCTGTAAGGAGCTCGGTAGATGCTGCCTCCGGTATACCTCTCACCCTGATATTATTCCTGCGGGGTTCTGTTGTTTAGATCTTCATTGTATTCCTCTAGTGAGCGCAGCTGTTTGCGTAGGTCTTGTAGCTCCCCGCCTTGGGCCTGCACGGTCTCCATTGCTTCCGCCATCTTAGTCTCTGTGGCCTGTGTGCGAGCTGTCAGGTCCGCCATTCTCTCCATAATTGGGCCAAGTTTTCTATCCAGCTCGTCTGCGACCGTTTTTCCGAAGTCGGCGATGAACCCCTGCATGTCCCGCCGGGTTAGTGGTGCCTCCGATTGATCCGGGGCCGTTTGGCTGACCATCTCCGAGTCAGAATCGGGCGGTGAGTGTTCAGAAGATGGCGCCCGGGCCTGCTCGCCTCTCTGTCGGAAGATAGGTGCAACGGTGGAGTTGCGGGTTTTTTTTCCTCCGCCCATTGGGGGGGTGAGTGGAGGTGTGAGGATGGGTTCTGGGGGTTCAGGTGCTCTTGATGGCTAAAGATTGAGGCTAGGCCTTGGCAGAGCTCAGGGATTATGCTGCCATTTCCTTGCACGGTTAGGCTCCGCCTCTCCTACCTTGCACTGTTTAATGATGCCGGGAGCCAAAATATGACGTCAATCCGGCGCCAGCATCACTACAGAGAGCACGAGGGAGCAGAGAGGAACTGTAGGAAGATTAGTGAGCAGACACACAGCCACTCAGCTCTCCCAAAGGTAGGGAGGCTGGGTAGACACAAATGTTTTAAACATGTTAATATGTGAGTTTATGAGAAAATGTGTGTCTGTCAGTGTGTGTTATTGTGAGTGTGTGTGTGTTTGTCTCTCAATCAGTGTGTCTGTTTAGGTACCTGGCCCCTCTGATCGCATGGCAAAAGTGTTTTTACTCACCTTTTTTTCCCACACCGTGACAGTTTTGCCACAGCTGGTCCTGCCTCAATGGCTGAGATCATCAATCGTTATGATCTCGGCTAAAGTCAATGCTTTCACATAGGAAAGCTTTAGGTAGATATTGCACATGTGCTGTGTCAATAAGCATCTCCTCATATAGATACACTGAATCAATGCATCTCAATGGGGAACATTCAGCGCCTCAATGCAGAGGTTCAGCATCAAGGAATCACCTTTAGTGGCCGTCTGAGTGACTGCCACTAGAGGTGTCCCAAGGCAGCAATGTAAACACTGTCTTTTCTCTGAAAAGGTAGTGTTTACATTGAAACGCCTGCAGTGACATGCTACCGACACCAGAACAACTACATTATGCTGCCATGGTTCTGGTGACTATAGCGTCCCTTTAAGAATTGGATTTTTTTCGTTCAAAAGGACACTTTGTTAGTTTAAAAAAGACTGGTTCCTGACTTTTTTAGCTGGCTCCTAGATTGAGATTTCAAACAAATTTGTCAAGCCCTGATATAGGTGATCACCCACTAGTGTTCGCCACCAAAATAATGTTCATCTACTCAGAAAAAAACATATGTTAGCCCAAAAAAAATTAGAGGTTACTTTGAAATACATATCTAATAAGTGTTTTAAATGTGCAATCACCCATAAATCACTAGAAGTGCCAGAAACCGTGTACAGGGACGATACATCCAAGGTTGACCAGCAATATTGAGTGGGATGATGAGTATAGCTGGGCAACCTTGGATATATATCGTTCTTATACACGGTTTCTGGCACTGCTAGTGATTCATAGGTGATTGCACCTTTAAAACACTCATTGGATATGTATTTCAAAGTAAGGTCTTTGATATCTTTGGGCTAAAAAATTTTTCTGAGTAGATGAACGTTATTTTGGTGGCGAACACTAGTGGGTGATTACCTATATCAGGGCTTGACAAATTTGTTTGGAATCTCAATCTAGGAGCCAGCTAAAAAATATTTTTTGGGCTAAAGTGTTTTTTTTCTGAGCAGATATCTGAACTTTTGATCGCCCACTAGTATTTTGGTTGCGAACACTAGTGGGCAATCACCTATATACATATAATAATTATGGACAATCCAGCGTGAAAAGCACGGCCATGTTGGATAAGCCATGCAGGAGGCGGTCTCCTCCACTCCAGACAATCCAGTGTGACACGCAAGGCCATGTTGGACGAGCCATACAGGAAGGGGCCACTGGAACACAAGAGCTTGTAACACGGAAAGTGGTGATTGGAACGCAAGAGTCCATCTTCCGGAACACAAGATCGCCCGCCAAAAAACAAACACAGATCAAGTACAACTGTGAAAGGTAATCGGCGATATGCCAGAATCAAAGAACAGATGTGAGGAATCATCGAAGGACAAACCAGGGGAGAGAAAGGAAGAACACTGTACCATATTGATTTTAATATTGGTCCTTGAGGAAGTTCCTTTATAGGAACAAAATGCGTAGGACCTCGTTTGTTTTTTTTTAAATTCTTTATTTTGTGGGGGCCCTAAAGTAAGATAAGGGGGGAGACCTAATGTCCCCCCCCGGCCCCCACCCCTGCGCGGCGGGTGGGGGCCATAGTGAGAATGAGGGGGGGGAGCCCCACCCCTGGGCGGTGGGGCCATAGTGAGAATGAGGGACCTACTGCCCCCGGCGGATGGGGCCGGGGCAGTAGGCCCCCCCCCTCGTTATCATTATGGCCCCCACCCGCCACCCAGGGGTGGGGGCCGGGGGCCCCACCCATTATCGTTATGACCCCCACCCACCGCGCCAGGGGGGGGGACAACATTAGGTCTCCCCCCTTATTTTACTTTAGGGCCC